TCTCAATGAGGCTTAATTAAAAAGTCTCAGTAATGATTTAAACATTTTACCTGAATGCACAATTTGAAAACCTAAGTCATACCCATTTTTCCTCTGAAATGGAGTACAAATACAGCATTATCTAACAGCTATCACAGTGCTAATGTTGGCATTTTACTTTTGAACAGTGTACATTTTTTGAATGTAGATTTCCCCACTATAATTTTGTTTTGCAGTGTAGCTTTGTTCTTTAAGGGTTACATTACCAAGATAATGCTTAGGATTTCCTTGGAAAAGAAATGGCTCTAGAATATAGATTCTCTTCCTACCATACAAGGTGAAATCTACTCCATATACTTTAAAATTTATAATAAAAATATATCAGTCATACCAGGAAAAACTCGTATTCCTCTGTGTAGAGACAAACAGATAGCAATGGAATTACGGAAGGAGAAAGCCCTGGAATTAGGATATTGCACATGAAAAAAATAAAAAAAAAATAAAAAAATAAAAAAATAAAAGGTATCTGAAAGCACCTGAGCATAAGTACCCAGGGCCCTGGAGACATACAGGACAGGAGAGCCACCAAAAAAACTATTACAAATAATTTGAAATATAATAAAAAAAATAAGGTACAAATCCATTGCCTGGTTGGTGTGCCTGTACAGTTGAGGGGACCACGCAGATTCTCCCCCATCCATGCCAATGCAAGTACAATAGCTCAAAGCCAGGTTTAGAAAATGTTACTAATGACATCAGAGCGTAAGTGACCCTTAGAACAGTTTGGCATGAGATTTCATTCTCACAGGGCAGCTTTTTGGTTTTACAGACTTCAGCAGTGAATGAGCTAAAGTAGCTACATCCTCTACTTATTTTTTTTCCCTTCTTTTTTGACTGCTTCAGAAATCATGGTCAATCCATCTAAGTAAAATGTCACAGAAAGCTTTGTTTTCCCTTAGATTCATGACTCTATTAGAGTCTCTAAAGTTGATAAGCTTTTTTCTTCCAAATGTTGGTCTTTTTTTTCTTCCATTTTAAGGGTCTCAGCACTTTCTGATTAGAAAATATTTGAAGAATTTGGAATACAAAAATTCAGGATGTCAGAAGAGTGCTCTTGTATGTTTGTATCAGCCTGAAGCAGGATGAACAATCTCCTCTAAAACCATGCCCTAAAAAAACTCTCGATTTGCAGAAACTGCAGAACAAAGCCAAATAAGATTAGTAATTCAAATAATCATTCACTTTTAATAACAGTTATTTAAAAATACAGTTTATTAACTCTTATGCTTTTAGTAATGACTTTTAAAGAACTATATTAAAAATATAGCAACAATAAGATTAAGAGGCTGGTATAACAGCAATTCAATTTCATAAGATTCTTTCTGGTTGTGTGTAAAAATAGCTATACCATAATGATTTATGGATTATCTGTTCAGCTTTCTACATCCTATCCAAAGCCTGCTAAAATCAACAGCAATGTTTCACAAGGATTGCAGTAGGATGTGACTGTCCCGCACGCTGGCAGTCTGACAGCATCACTTCAAACCGTGCATCTTTACCAGAGGATCCAGACCACAGGGTGCACGGAGACCAGCCACTGCCATTTCCGTCATGAGTGCAGCAACCTCCCGGAAAGCTAAGGCAAAGACATGGGATCATCTTAAATGAGCAAGCCATTTGATTGCAGTCATTCAGGACAACATCATCCCCACAGCATTCCTCCTAGCCTTCTTCCGGTGTCAAGGCTGAGCATTATGTGCCACAACAGTCACTATAAACTGCCAGAGAATCTGGATTTGCTCCAGCACACTAGCGTAATCTCAACTGATGTGCAAAATTCTGCTGCCCCATGCAAGTAACCTGCTTAGCTGCCTGTTCACTGGTACAGAGCCTGGTTGTAGCCTGTGCCACAACAAAAATGGCAGTGCTACTGTTAATTAAAAACATTTTAGTTTACCTTGATCAGAAATACATATATATACATACTCAAAATATTACACCAGCCAAAACATTTCCAGTAATCTGGCGTTAGCCTGAATTTAGTCTAATCTATTCTTTACATAACCGTTTTAGAAGTCATGTGAATCTTGGAGAAACAAAAAACAAAAAAAAACAACAAAAAAAAGGTGCGAGAATACAGAAGTACAGAATTGTTACTCAGAGCTTGTCCCACTGATCTTCCAAGGTTAAGACCATTTGCAACTACTGTCATCAACACTATTATTCACAGTTCCATGTAATGCTCATTCCTGTTGCCTGACACTGGCTACTGCGCTGGTACACCCACTGAACACATGACCATGAAGAATCAGACCTATGAGATAATTAGAGGATAAAACTGGTCAAATGAGTTTCTAATTTGGGGCAGGGAGAAGAGGATGAAAAAAAGCTGAGAGCTACTTGTTTTAATCCTTAATATTTTGCCTTTCTGCTTAGAATGAACTTTGAAGCATATACTACTTTATTACGTACAGAAAGGCCTATCACTATTTAAAATATTTGAAGATGAATAAACAGGAGGAGAGCAGAAGCAGATGGTTCCTCATTGAGCTTTTCTGTTTGTCTGTTCTGGGCAATTAGAACAATTTTTAGTCATTTTCCATGTTGATTGCTGATGTCTGACCACACAAAAAGCAAGATCCCATTTTAGCATGTTTGCAAAAGCAGAACTGGCATGAGAAATCCAGCCATGTCTTCTTTCTGATGCAAGCTTATTAGCCTAAGAAAAGCTTCTAAGAGAACTGAGCAAGTTAAAAGCACTTTTATTGCACTAACTTCAGCTCAACTTTTTCCATATTTTGTTTTGTGACCATAAACAGGTCCCATCAGTACACAGTCTGAGTTGGCAGCCATAAAAATTCTCTATTTTGAATTAGCTTGGTAGTAATGTTCATATACATACTTACTCATGGTTGTATTCTTTAAAGTTACTAACATACATCCTGTAAAATAATATACACTCTACACAGAAGGATTGAGGATAAGAAAAATTTTGAAAAATCAAGCTAAATTCTTATTTGCTTCAGGTGAACATCACTGAAAGATACAGTACAGTAGACAGGCAGAGGTGATGTTCCGCAAATTAATATGAAACTGTTCATTAGAGTTGATAAATCCAGGAGCACATTAAATATAGCTTGCACCTGCTCATTCTTTATTTTATTATGCTCCCCCTTTTTTTTTTTTGGGTTAGAAAAGCTATTCCTGGAAGTTTCATTTTATCCTACAGGTCTAGTTTGTGACACTGCAGTCTCTCCGAATGGATACCTTAACCCGCATACCTAAATGATGGCTACACTTCTCATAAGCATTTCCTGTAAGGCGATATAATTCTTAGGCATCCTCTTAGTTATACAAGAAGTAAGTGAAGGAGAATCCGGGGCATACACTTTTTATTAACTCCAGATAGTTGCCATATACAGAGGAAAAATTAGGCTAGTTTCCTGGCAGCAAAGTAAAAAACACTAGTTACGATCATTTTAAGAATCTGATATAACTTATTTCCAAGTATACAAAGACACAACTTAAGGGAAAAAAAAAAAGTACAGGTTTAATTGTTGAAAATTAAGCATAGACTCTTCCCAAAGAGAGACTCTTCACCCCAGTCACACTCTGTGTGCTGATTTTGAATTATTGCTGTTTCTGCTGAAGATAATGTAGGAATCACAGTCACACTGAGCATGTTAAGCACAGCTCCTGGAATGGTGCCCAGCTATGTACCACATCCCAGAGGCACACGTAGCAACTTGGGAACCCCAGCTCAAGGGACAGAGCAACGTCATCCCCTCAGATGTGCTTGGCTTGACCTCTGCAATTTGTTTTTTTTTGCTCCCAGTAACTACAGACTCACCTCACTGAAACTGTAAAGCACACTACGGACTCCTATTCAAAAAAAAAAAAAAAAAAAAAAAAAAAAAGATTTCTACCTGTACAGAGTACTGGAAGCACACAGAGACAAATAATACAAAATTACTGCCCCGATCAATTTAAAATCCACTTTAAGTGCAAGGAAATAATAGTCGGGATAAAACATTCTTCAGGATCTTACAATCTCTTACTAAGGCTGTATCCCTACGTTCTTCACCAGAATCAGCTGTGAGGCAAAAAGAAAAAAAAAAGTTAAAAAAAGAAAGCATTACAGTCACACTAACCTCTCAGGAAAACAGCCTGAGAAGACATTGAAGGGCTACAAAGAAAAAAAAAAAAAGGGCAGTTTAACCAGAACTCACATCAAAAGTTACCTGCAGGCCAGGACTAAGGCCTCTCTACACAGAGACCCCACCAAGATTTAGAGCACTCAGACAGTGTGGGTGACCATAGCCCATCGTCACAGCAACCACTGAGCACTACAGCTCTTGCTCAAACCATTTTTTAGTTCTAGCATTTCTCCTATACCGAGCACGAAGCTACCTTTATACATACACATACGTACACATAGAGTTAACTCAAAGCCAGAACAACACCTGCAACCAGAGCGGTTAAAAAGCCCCTCTCG